CCGAGAAGTGTTATTGAAAACAGAACAAGGAGGATCTCATACAAAAAAGTTACATTCAGCATAAAGATTAAGAAAGCAAACCTACTGTACTGGTCTAATTAAAAACCATACGTTCGCCTGCAGCAGTTTTGTATGAAATGCCAACGTGGTTTATCAGTTTTCACGAACGAATACTAACTGATCAGACATCTTCACTATGCAGCTGGAGCCCTCTCTTCGATGTTGCATTGATTTCGGTGGCGAGCTTGTTGAGTTTGGAAATAAATGGTTAATCACGCTAGTTTTAGAGTTGATTTGCTGACACCAGTCATAGGGTTTCTGTGTGCAAAAATGGCTTTATTTATCCCTGCTGTGGCTTTTTTTCATTTTTAATTTTGGCATAGCTTGTCCTCAACTGCCAGTGAGCTTTTTTTGTGGTTAGTTTTGTGTTTGTGAATGTTTATTCGGCATCTTGGGGCAGATCTCGTAGGTGGAGTCTGATGCAGAAGGGATGGAAACATGAAAATAGCACCAGGTGGGGGTACCTAATAAAGCTCCAAATCTCATCACAAATTGCTCTGCCAGAGTTAAAGGAAATGTTGTTTTTCCTTTTATCTGGGGTTTTTAACAGCTACCTAATGCAATTTGTGCATCTTCTTAAAAAAATGGAAGAAACTGCAATGGAAATGCAAGAATTTATAGTTACAGGCATAACTTTCCCCGTGAAAAGAGTTGCTGACTGTATACATGAACAGGTATGTTCACATATTTCGTGTTCCACAATGAAATATCGACGTGGAGTTTGAAAATGATCCTCAGCTGAGCAAAAAGTGCAATGGAAATCAGGGACGGTAACTTGGGAAGGCATGGAAGCTCAGAATGGGAAATAACAGCTCTCAGCAATTGGCTTCACAAGGACTGTTAGCGTAAACCCGGCTCTAAGCATCACTAACACCAGAAACTGGTACCCAGCTCAGCAGATCGGTTCAGAGGAGTTGGAGTTGGACTCAAAGGTGAAATAGATGTTTAATATGAGGGAGCAGAAGTTTTCTATTAATGATATATTAGCAACAATTAACATTTTTCCACGTGAAAGTGTCAATCAGATTGTAAGTCGGTAATAAATTTTTAGCATCAAATGGGCTGGTAGGACAAGAATGAGATCTGGTTGTGCTTTTTGAGATACTTCTCTGATATTTTTCACTAAGAGAACTTAAAGGCTGTCCTGGCAGGTGATAGCATGTTAAATATAGTATGGAAAATGTAAAGAAATGATACTGCGCCGTGCCTCTCGTTGAGCGGGTCAGATGCGAAGATGTCTCACCCCAGGCTTTTCCTCCGGATGCACTCTTCTGGAAAGCATCTGTGGGGTTGATTTTTCTTAGCTGGAAAGGGAATTTCAACCCAGGTCTCCCACTTCTTTGCTGAACGGACTTTTATACAAAAGCTGGAGAGTGCTTCTCTGGTGATGGTTCGTTTGTGAAGAAGCAGGAACGCTGCTCAGTGTTCATAAACCCGTTATCCAACTGAGTTGGATAATATACATCCTCTTTTCCATTTGATGGTACTCAATTCATAAGCGATATATACTGTTAAATGAGATTACAGGCCGAAGGAGGGACCACTGCGACAGCGACTCCCCCTCCCTTGTGTTGTTTACAAATTAAATTTTGCTGCTCTCTGAGCTTGAATATGAAAACGTTGTTATTGATTTTCTGAGACCGTGCAAAGTGAAACGCAGAGACTAAAGAGTGTAATTAACATTAATAATTAAAAACGGAACTGCATTTTTCAATCTCCAGTCTATTGTAATCCTCTGAGTAAAGGGCTGATCCTGTGAGCAATAGAGCTTCTTCAGTTCACTGATAATGGTGCAACCTCGAATGATCCAAGTTGGGCGTTTCAGATTGGGCGCATAAATGGCCAGATATTTCATTGCTTCTCAGAACCCCATGTCCTCATTCAGCTAAATAAAAATTTGGATTCTTATAGCTGTGACAAATTGAGACCTTTCACTTGCAATATTCCTGCCTCTGATTCTGCCACACACTGCTCAAACATCTTCTGTATTGCTGGTCTCACTGGGGTCAGTCACGTGCAGAAATATTTTCAGAGCTGAGGTGTGCATGTGCAGATCTCAGCTAGAGTCCCCCTGATTTAAAATATTAACGTGAAACTCATTGATTGTTCTCAACAGAAACTAAAGTCAAACAAAAATATAAAAAGGAGTAAAAATAAGTCTTGCATTGTAGTAGTTTGCTAATCCTATAGATTGATTGCTTCTTTATATGTCAGGTTGTCATTTGTCTGATATAAGAGGCAACTAAAACAACATTTTTGCTCCTATTTTTAACTTTTTTTTTTCCTTCTTTTAACAGAGCATTCAGAAGCTGGCTAGCCAATACTTAAAGAAGGACTGGCTTGGAATAAAAGCTGATGAACGAAGTGATTATAGGTAATTTAGCAGTTGGATATCTCATAAGAGCTGTCTTTAGAATTTCAATTTGTATAATTATTTTACTTAACAATGAAACACTGCCCTTCTGTAGTTAAAGTTGTTTTTTTCTTTGTTGTAGAGCATTGCCAGTTAAAAATGAAGCTTTGTTTTCCCCTGAAGTTCTGAGATTAGTCTTAAATAGATGTTTATTACTTGAATAATTTAGGGAGATTGGAAAACAAAATGGCACGACAGGACAACTGTAATTGGGCACCCTGTTTGGGTATTAATGCTTGTATCTGAATATATATTTTAGCAAATAGCTTTAAGGTTAGAGTACTGAACATGTGGATTTCTTCATAGGAAAAGACAGCAACAGATTTCTTTTTAGGAGGCCATTCTTCCTGAAGACAACACCTGACAGCAAGGAGGAGGCAAAGCAAGAAACAGTTGTTTACAAAACTTGTTTCATTAACATGAAAGGTGGATCATAACATGAAAACAGAAATTACTCAGTTGCTGAAAGCCTCCCACCTTTGAATAGTACCTCCTATATTTTGAAAAAGTTTTAAGATACTTTATTTTAACGTGTTCTTTGTATTCTGACAAGTTTTATTTCAAACAGGAAGAAATTGTTGATAGATTTGTGTTTTGGACTATTGGTACCTTCACACCACTTGTGTGTCTAAGAAGAAATAAACTGAATTATCAGTCTGAAGTGTATATAAAACGCTCCCATGACACACAGACCCCTCCTACCTGCAGTTTGCTCCCCACTCAGCAAGCCTTTCATGCCATCACTTACACCCATAGTGCCAGACGTGTCCTCCAAATACCTGCCGCTCCCTCGCTCCCTCCCTCCCTCCCTCCCACCAAGTTCTTGGGCTCTGCAAAGCTCCAGCAATCTTTCCTTTCTACCAGCTGCGGGGGAGATCTTGTCGCCTTCTTCCCCCGCTCTT